GTGCAGATCATGATTAAAATGCAGTGGTTGCCTCTAATTTCAAATGGCTAGATATTTTTTGTTTAAAGCCAGTTTGTTTGTTATAAAGCAAATAGCCAATAAATAAATTTGCTGAAAAATCAGTATCAGAATCCAATTTGCTAGTTAAAAAAAAAAGAAAAGAAATTCTGAATCAGCTATGATCGGCGTAATACTAAGTAAAAGGCCTCAAATTTGAAGTACAATCTGGGATGTCTTTTTCTATCAATCCTTCAATAGATAGATCTTGTCTTTCATAAAGGCCGAGGTCAGGGATCTTGAGCCTAAAAAGGTTGGTGAACACTGCTCTAAAGAAACGGGATTCCCTAAATTATCGTCATTGATATCGTTATCGCAATAAATATCAGAAATTATCGTGATATATTTTTAAGCCCATATCGCCCATCCCTAGATAAGACATATGAATTAGCCAAGTCATGCTTTATGAACTTTCAGCCAAGTTTCTGTTGCCATTTCTTATTCATTTCCAAGAGTGCATTACATACATAACATTGGGTTATGATACTCAATTTAATACTCTATCAAAATACAAACATTTGAATATATTTTTTTTATATAAAAATTAATTACATTTTATGCACTGAAACTGACAGAGAATCAGCACTGTATAGACTCAGTGCTATAGATACCAACATGTTAATGAAGTGTCACGTCATTAAAGGCAGAATAGAAAGTCTCAGTAAGTCAAGTAGGTGGACTTGGTCTTGTGAGAGCATTGTGCTCAAAGGTCAAGGTCAGCTGGACAGTAGTTTGAGAGTCATGGAACAAACACATGCCATTTGTTCTTTGACCTTGCATTGTGCAAGAAAATGCATTGTTCAGATCAGTTTTATATTGAAGATGAAGTTCTCACAAAATGTCAACGTTATCAAATGCGTTGTTTAAAGGCTTTTAGTCGGTCACCAAAACTACCTCACTGATGTAATTCAGTCAGACTGCTATCACTCCTGGTCAGAGGCTTTATTTTGTTTGCAGTGTTACATTTCAACTTGATCAATTTAATGGTGCAACACTTAAATATTTTGCATTTCATGAATTGTAGATTGCTCTCTCCCAGGGGACAGACACGTGAGTAAGTTTGTCAGCTGTGACTTTTAATAAAAGTGATCTGTTGTTCTTTCCGCTGTGTCCTTTCTTTAGCTCACCTGCTATCATGCTTTCCAGAGCGGCCACCATGGCTGGGGTCACTGCTCACAAGATCAGTAAACACATCACCTTCCTCGCCAATGACGTTGCTTGGACTCCCACGGCTAGTGTTTCACCTGTTCACCCTAAACCAATATTGCTGATGCTGCCATGGCTGGGCTCCAGACCGCAGGCCATTGCCAAGTACTGTGATATTTACTTTCGCACAGGCTTTGATGTGCTCATAGTGGAAAGTGCGGTGAGCCAGTTCTTGTGGCCTCGCTGGGGGTTGGAGTATGGTGGCCATGTGCTGGAATTATTAGAGAGCGAGTGCTTCTCACAGCGCCCCCTACTGGTCCATGCTTTCTCCATAGGTGGATATACATTTGGTCAGGTGCTTGTTCATGTGGCCAAAGACACCCAGCGTTACCAAGGCCTGACAAACAGGATCAGGGGTCACATCTACGACAGCCTTGTCATGGGATCGCTGGAACATATGGCCAACGGTACGTACAGAGATAGCTATGTATGTATGTATGTATGTATGTATGTATGTAAAAGTATTCATTTTTTTCACGTTTTGTTATATTGCTGCCTTATGCTAAACTGCTTTAAATTACTTTTTTCCCACATCAATCTATACTCCATACACCATAATGGTAGAGCAAAAAACAGCTTTTTTTTATTTGTAATTAATTTACGAAGTTGTGACAATTCTGTTTTTGCTTTGTCAGTATGGTGTATGGAGTCTTGATTGATGTGGGGAAAAAGTAATTTAAAGCAATTTAACATAAGGCAGCAACATAACAAAACGTGAAAAATATATATATACACACACACACACACATACAGGGCTGCATTAAGAGGGGCCCTTCATCAACGAGAACTACAGCCTATATTCAAATTTTATTTGAGCATTTTTAATTCAAACTAAGGCCACCGGCTCGACAATAAGGACTGCCCGGGGTCAGCGTGAAAGACGCTTGGGATGGATAATGGATTTGTCATGAAATTTAAACATTCAAGAGAGTTTAAAGCATTCATGCAGACGCGGGAGAGAGCTCCATTCAGTGTGTTCTGAGCGCACAGCCACGTCTCAAACAGCACGCAAGCCTGAATTGCATTTCTTTCCGGGAAAATGCATACAAAAGTAAAAAGTATACAATGTTATTTTGATTATTCAATTTCTGTACCTGAATACCTACAAACTCAGAAACCTAACGCATTGTTTAATTTTTATATTTGTTCTATTCATTTATTTAGGCTATTTGTGCTATTGTTTGTCTTCGATTGGAATCGAGAATTGTAAAATTTAACAGGTAGGCCTATCTATAAATTTGGTATTGAAAAAACTGATAAAACAATAGTTTTTTTGTTGTAGTTGTTTTTTGTGGCAGGGCAAATCAAAATTTTAACCACTGAGCCCTTTTGGCCAAATCACAAGTGTGAATTTTCAGTTGCTTCACGATTTGATTCAATTGATTATGATGCATCACAATGTATCTTCTCCAATTATTTAATTAATAATAATTACCATAGTAATTATCACAATAAAGCTCTTTTTTGTTATTTTACCTTTGTTAGCCTATTAAAAATAAAAACAAAGATGCAAATAAACTGTAGAGAAAATACAATATAGGCCTATACAAATTAACAGTGCTTTACTTTTACATCTATTTTACAGAAGCAAGACATACAGAAATTGAATAATCAAATGGAAGTATAATCATTGCATATTCTTTAGTGTATTAATTACAAAAAATAAAGCTACACATTCATTGTCAAGAGGAGTAATTCCCTCTTTTGTTGTTTTTGTAGCTATTAAATAAATATCTAAATCATGAATCCTATTACACATCAGAATTTTCCACAACTGTTTACGAAATAACCGTCTGTTTACGCGAATACTCACCAAAACTGATATTCAGATATATTTCTTAATTAAAATAGCCTATAACAAGAGTAATTTATTATAATAAAACAGTAGCCTACATTAATATGTATGATAATATGCCTATTTAATTACATTTATGCAGAATCGTCCACATCAGCATTGTGATGCATCATAAAAGTGATCATATTCCACAGTTCTAGTGTGTGATGGCTAATACTGCGAGCTCAACTGTTAAGATGAAAAAGGAGTTTATTATTTGACTAATTATAGCCTACTGTATCTAGCTACTGCTAGCATGACCTACCTTTGCCGTGATCTGCATCTTCTCTTAGCCTTGCGCAGTGCTTGAAGTGGAAAAAAAGAAGAGCCGGTACTCACCCGCTTTAATAATTCACAATGTATGTATAGTGCCTCAATCAATCAATAATTAAATAAGTTTTCAATACATAATTAGCACAAGTCAAGCTGCGATACCAAACAGGACCACAGGGAGATGCCAAAGACTACTAAATCGCCTGCCTTTACTACTATATGGATCCATTCAGAATCGCTAAATCTCTGACCACAGCATAATCAGCGTTCATTATAAAACACTCATGCTTTTAAGCCAAATACACGGTGAAAAGAATAATTTTACTGCATCTGGACGTAATTCACTATTCTCTCTGCAATCGCTGATGAAATTGGCCGTGTTTTCTCTGCATTAGCGCTGTTTTGAACTTACTGTTTGAATTCATTTACTGGATCCTTAGACTTTCCAGGAGTTTACAGGTTTAAAATGATGTGATCGCAAAAGCTTGCTTTTTTCATTTTAAGATATTATTTTCGTTATAAAGTACTGACTGATTCAAATGGTCCTCAATAATTAATAATTATTCTACTACTCTGCGCGCCTCCCCTGACATGCTCTCGCACACCACACACTCCGCTTGCATTCATTCACGTGATTGGTCGAGATGAGAGGTGATCTCGCCTGGGTAGTGTGATTTTATATATTGTAATTTCTAATCATATATGGGATCATATATTCACCCAGACCCTGACACTTTTACTCTGAGTACCGGCAACATGTCAGAAGTGACGGCACACACAAAAAAGTGCAGGTAACCTAAAGGCTGAAGTATTGAAGTACTGCGTACCGGCCCACTTCAAGCACTGGCCTTGCGTTAAAATATGCCGTGAAATTTGGATTTTTTTTTTCAACAAATTTGACTGCATGAGTTTTCACTTGATGACATTGCGTGACTTTGCTTTATTTTCCCTTGTCTCTTTCATATTTGGGAGTGTTTTACTGACACTTCTCGTGCAGGACATGCAACTCCCCACACACGCATTCAAACCAAAAGCGATAAAGTGTAATTTTAAGGTAACTGTATAAAATGCAGTTACAATATTTCCGGCATCACCGGGGGCCCCCCTCAGCCTTGGGCCCTGGGCTTAAGCCCAGGTAAGCCTGTGCATTAATGCATCCTTGAATGAATGAATATATATATATATATGAGAGAGGCCTGGGACAATAAATCGATGCATCGCGATTTGTGGATCGATTCTGAGATTTTCGGAATGAATCGTGATTCTCTCTCGAATCGATTCTGAGCTTAGTTTTTAACAGCAGATTGCGCTCTAGGCTAGTTTTTAACCGTACACTCAAACGAAGAGTTCGGCTGAGTAATGTAAGTGGTTAAATGTAAGGCTTTTATGATGCGAGATTAATGTAAACACAGCCCACTGTGAACATCCTTGTAATTCGCTTCAACCTTTTCAAACTTTATGAATGATTATTTTAGGTTCAAATGGTGCGTTTGTAAGCAACTGGAAGCAAGCAGAATACGGCTATTTCTAAAGTATATGCAGTGCCATCTGCTGTTAAAAAAATAAGCTCAGAATCGATTCAAGAGAGAATCGCGATGCCTTCGGAAAATCTCAGAATCGATGCAGAATCATTTCTCAATTGACGATGCATCGATTTATTGTCCCAGCCCTTATGTACATATACAGTATCTCACAGAAGTGAGTACACCCCTCACATTTTTGTAAATGTTTTATTATATCTTTTCATGTGACATCACTGAAGAAATTACACTTTGCTACAATGTAAAGTAGTGGGTGTACAGCTTGTATAACAGTGTAAATCTGCTGTCCCCTCAAAATAACTCAACACACAGCCATTAATGTCTAAGCCGTTGGGCACAAAAGTGAGTACACCTCTAAATGAAAATGTCTCGGGTCTCAGGTGTGAATAGGGAGTAGGTGTGTTAAATTTGGTTTTATTGCTCTCACTCTCTCATACTGGTCACTGGAAGTTCAACATTGGCCAAGATAGGCAGCAGTACAACCATGCATACATACATACATACATACAGGTACAAAATATAGTAACATAAAACAACTGAAATAGCGAATCCTTTAAAATATTGCTTACATTTCCTCAGTTATTCAAACAGCAGATACATAAAGAGCAAACAACATTTACATTATCAAAGAACATCGTCACTGACTTCAGTCTAGCACAGGTTTATGCACTTTAAAAAAAAAACTCCCATTATAATCAGTGAAGCTACACTTTATCATGAATAAATCTCTTATACTTAACTCGTACATCTGCACTTTATTTATGATGAGAGAATTTTTACAGAGCATAATTCAGTCAGTGAGTGCACACTGAACAACAAAACTCCGGTCTTTCAGCGATGACTCATCTGAACACCTCTGATTGGCCATTGCATTTATAAACTCAACTGAATCGTGTGTGATTAGTTTGGTTATAACGCACAACACTGTAAAAGCATGTAAAAAGAAATCTGATGGTACAAATTAGCCCTAATATTTAATTAGATAATAATACTAGCCTGATAATAATAATAGTCGGTACCGCTGCTCCCTATACGCAGAGTACACATTTTCTATATTAATATTAACACGTACATATACGTAAATAAAAACATGAACATATAATTATAAAAAATGCGTTTGACTGTGAACGCAGTAGACCGGCGAAGCACACGTGACGTGCCATCCCCGCATCCGCGCCTGCCTCATGTTTGTGGCTGACTGCAAATGATCATAACTGATGGACAACTATGCCCGGGAAAAGACATCAGTAGTCCGGCGCTGAGATAAGAATAATAATAATAGTAAAAAAAAGCCCAATATGAAGCCCATGCATCACTTTTAGGCACGTTCATAATCCTGTGAATCTTTTTTGGATGTTGACGTTAATAACGTGTTTTAATGTCGGTAAAAATATCACCGCCGCATCTGTCTTAATATTCTCTCAGAGTTTTCATGTTCCCTAACGAAAATGTACCATAATTTTACTATGAATAAAAAAAAAAACATGGCTCTTGTAGCGGTGGTAACCACAAATTAACCACGGTTTTGATACTTCAAATCGCTTCAAATAATATTTTACGACGTATTCAAATAATGTCTTTGTGGTATTACAAACAGACCTAAGCGAACAACAACCTTTAAAATGACATAAAATGCATTATATAAAAACAATGAGGCAATAATGATTGGTTAATTTAATAATAATTGTATGGTTTCATTGAATAACACTGTTAAAATACATAATGTAATAGGCTACAAAATAAACAATTTATGTACATT